TCCCACCTGCCAATAAGTAAGCTTGCCAGTCACCCATATGTGTGTATTCACAGAGGCCATGAAGAGGAAAGAAAGGTTACTTACCTGTAACCATGGTTCTTCGAGTGGACCTCTGTGAATTCACACTACCCGCCCATCCTCCCCTCTGTCCGTCACGGGTATCTTATTGTTGTATAACTCTCGTGCCCAGCAGACAAATTGCAGGAACTGAGGGGAATCTTGGGTGGAAGGAGCATGTGCCTCATGGGGGATCATCCCATAAAATTGTTACTTTTAGCTCTGGAATGCTCCGAGAACGTCAGCACAGGCACAGACTAAACCCATATGTGTGAATTCACAAAGGTCCACTCTAAGAACCATGGTTACAGGTAAGTAACCTTTCTATTTCTGGATTTTTTTAAAATAAGAACGTTTTCTGAGATTTTACTTTTATTCTGTTTAAATGAATATACAGATAATGGCAATGATACCAATATTAAATAATATAAATTTCACAGCCATGAAATTAGAACTGACAAGCCTATTATTGGAAATAAGAGTCACTCGCCAGAGTCCTATTTACTTAATGCAATCATCCAAGCCTTTTGTTCTCTCCAACAGGACTTTTGTCATGCACCAAATAGTTTGAGCAATGGTGAAATAAGGCACATGAATGCTTATGCTCCTGGGTTTACAAAAAGGAGTGAACAAGAGAGAAAATAACACTGTAGAAGTGCCCGACATGTACAGGTTTTTACCAACTGGATTTAGCTCAACATCTCTACCTTAAAGTATCCAGTTCTTCATATTGATGGTAGCAGCTCTAGCTGCTAATACATTTTAGGATGCAACTAGATGGCTGAGTTTTCCCAATCTGGATTGGTTTAGGAGGTCATGATAAACAGGGTGGCCTTGAGGTGTGGTATGCCATTTGGGCCAGTCATTGCATCAACACACAGTACCTCAAGCGACATTGTTTAGCACAATCAAGACTTCTTCCTCTTTAAAAGGAAACTTTACCTTTTCTAAAAATCCTTAAGTGGCTTAGGCAAAGCATGGAATTGAAAGCAGCTTAACTATCTTGAGAAAGAGAAATCTTCCTTGCCACTCATCATTGCAGGGGAAGGAAGGGGACATTTTACATGTCTTTTTAATTGTTGCAGACAAACACTAGAGAACTTTTTGAAAGCCCTTTCAAAGCACTGCTGAGAAATGCAAAATTTCTTCTTCCTTGCCCTCCATAGGCAAGCAGAAAAAAAGCTTTCAATTCACAAAGATTTGTTAAGTAACGTCCTAAAGCAGGGGTAGGTAATTAATTTCTATAGGGGGGCTAGATGAAAAATCTGAACTGTGTTCAGGGGCTGAACCAACTTTACTTAAAAATAAAATGAAATAGTGATGTTATGATTGTTTTTATTTTAAACTTGTTAATCTTCACAAATACTAAAGAGTTTTTTTTGCAGTATGATAAAGATAAGCAACTGATCAACTTTAGAAAAAAAGCTATAAATGGTTTTGATGTTCAAAACTATCTGTGGGCTGGTCAGGAGCGGCTCGTGGGCTGTATATGGCCCTCGGGCCGCACTTTGCCCAGGTCTGTCCTAAAGGGACAGCCAGCCAGCTGCTTTGGCTTCATCCTATTTATTTTATGTATTTATTTAAAATATTTCTATGCCACCTTTTTTCTCCAAAAGGATTCGAGGTGGCTTACATTGCTAAAACAGCATTTAAAGCTAAAACAGCAAGTATACAAATATTTGAAAAGAATTAAACTAGTACTATGTTAAAATCCTAGCAATTGTACATGCTGTGACTGAATATGTTGTGATCATGCAAGCCATCAAGACAATTCTGCCTTATGTCAAACCCTTCCAGGATTTTCCCTTCTTCTGAGGGTGCTCTGGAATTGAGACGCTTGGTCTTGACTACCAAGGTTGGCTTTTCTTCCAAGAGGGTCAATATATTTTCCTGCCATTAAAAATGTTACCTTCAACATAGTCCTGTAAGGTCTTTTCCGATCCATTATGAGAAGATTTCCAACAAACGGTAACGGCCAGGGTCCTGGGGGAAGAAGCTGAGAGCTGTTCTTCCAGAAATTCCAAGTTTTCAAAACCAACATCATCATAAGGCCAAACAGCGACAATATTGAAGCAGGAATAATCCAATCCATTTCTGTTTAAGAAGCAATTTCCTATATGCTTACAATAGAAGTTGCAATACAGTTTAATTAGGGAAAGTGCTTGTTTCAAAAGAAAGTTTTTACAGAAACATTTATTTTCCTATATAAGGTTCAGTTATTTCCTCTGGTGAATCATTAAACATATTAACTGAAACTAGGCGCTCCACTTCCCCCCAGTTTTGTTTCTCCTACTCATCTTCCAAAATCTATACTTGATAAGTTATACTTTAATTTGATGGCTTCATGGCCACAACTCCCTATTTCTTCCAGTGAAATTGTGGCCAACAGGTTAAACTCTCCTGAATCCTAGAAATTAGATGGGCTACAACGTTGGATTATACTTAATCATTTTGGATACACAGAGCAACATTACAAAGTCCTCTGTGGTGACTGTTGAGTGGTATGTTTGAAAGTCTATAAAACCTCCTCACAGTCTTCTCGTGTAAAATCTTGACAACACTTTGGTATCACTTGAAGAATTTAGGACCTGGATATCTTGAATCAAGGGACTTTCCCTGAAATTAATAATCATCAAGAACATGTCCTGATTTCTTTGGGGGGGGGGGTCCTCCCAAAAGCAGTCTTCCCAGAATTGTTTCCATGAACTTATAAACTGTCCCCTCCTTCAGAGCTAGTTTATTTTTTATGTTCTAGAATTAGTTAAGTGAAATCTTTCAGACTGCAGCATTTCTATATCAGCACATGAGGAGCTGGAAAGGGGACAATTTTAATTTAATTATGAGGTGACATCAGTCTGTATTTTTTTAAAATGTTTGTATTTTATTTATATGTTTTTAAAAAGTGTTTCTGAAATAATTGTCCTATTCTTGATTGCAAATGGTAGTTCACTGGGGAATTATGCAACACCTTCCTCCCCTGTTCTACTTAGAGTCCTACAGGTCATTTCTGGAAAGTAGTGCAGCTCTTACATCTGCTTGAAATCTTCATTTTTGGCCAATAGTATTCAACAATATCTCACATGGTGTTGAATATGAACATGGGAAAAAGGACAATTGTCCGTCTTGAACTCTGACAAACAGCAAGGATTATGTATTCTCGAAGGCTTTCATGGCTGGGATCTGATGGTTATTGTGGGTTTTTCGGGCTCTTTGGCCGTGTTCTGAAGGTTGTTCTTCCTGATGTTTCACAGTCTCTGTGGCTGGCATCTTCAGAGGACTGAAGTAGGAACTGAAGTACAGAGCAAGGACGGAGTTCCTACTCCTGTTCCTCTGAAGATGCCAGCCACAGAGACTGTGAAACATCAGGAAGAACAACCTTCAGAACACGGCCAAAGAGCCCGAAAAACCCACAACAACCAGCAAGGATTACCTTGCTATTAGCTGAGACCACTTTGCCTTGGAGCACACTTGTCTCAGCAAATCTCATTGGCTCAAAGCACAGCAACCTCCTGCAGGACACTCTTTCCTGAGACACACGTCTGTTGCTTCCTTCTTCTTGGTGCTCCTGCTGGGACTCTCCTCTGTGCTACAGCAGAAGCTGTTAAGACCTGCACACAGTGGCCAGAAGGTTGCCAGCACCCGGGGCAAGGCAAATATTGTGTCCCCTAACCTGTGGACTGTTAGCATTCCTGTGTCCCTTCCACCCACCACCTCCCAAGGAGAATTTGCAACCCAGCAAACAAAAAAACAAATGAAAACAAACAAAAAACCAGGAACAGAAACAAGGTGGGCACTTGTGGATGTGTAGGGGGAGCCAGGAAGTGTGGCACCCCAGCCCCTGCAGGGTGAAGGCTGTTCTGGTGGCAGTGAGGAAAGAGAGAGAAGGGGGGAGCGAAAGAAACCACCTCTATTAAACTCTTACAACCTCTGCACCCCTAAGAATTTTATGCTTTGGGCAACCACCCTGTGGGCTCCCTGTGCTACGCCACTCCCTGCATGCACAAATGCACACCCCTGCTACTGCCTACTGAGATAAGAGTCTGCTATCTCACTGAAATGACTGGAAGCACAGAGAACACGGAGCTTCCTCACCCTAGCTGGATTTGGGGAGACGATGCTGTATATGGGTTGTTGTGTGTTGTGTGTTTGAAGGGAAGGTGGCTTCTGAGACACCAGCATTGGAGAGTGTAAGTAAAAACTGAATGACAAAATGCCGTAGACATTGAACCTGTACCTGAATGCAGCCTGTTGGGGGAAGGACAAGGAGGGAAGGTGGCAACACCTGGGCTCCCAACTATTTATAGTTTTCTCCCTGCCTGCGGGTATAATGATAGCTTGAGCTGCAGGGGCAGCATGTCTGTGCACACCTCTGCGGTGCACCAGTTGTGTTGCTAAATGTGCTGTGTACGTAGTGCTGCACTTGGAGCCACAGGAGGAGTTGAGTCCCTTGCCTAAAATGACCCTTTTAGCAAAGCCTTCCTTTCGTAGTCCTTCCTCCCTGTATTTTTTTTAAAAAAAACATAACAACCTTTCCAAATTGCCCCCTCTCTTTTTAGCTTTTTGTGATATTCTTCCCACTCCTTGTCAACTCGGGGGTGGGGATGTTAATTTAATCTTTGCCTGCTTGTGGAGGGATGTGTTTTGATGAGAAACAAAATGCTGGAGGGAACCAGGGAGCAGCTGTTGGAGTTGTTCTGGGCAGGGGGAGATATGGTGGGGACAGCACTCACAGCACCACGTGAGAGAGAAGGGGGAAAGGATATTGGTTGTCCATAAGCTGTCCCCAAACTTAGATACATAGCTTGGATGGCCATGGTGACAGGCCCCCTGGGTTGAAACTGCTGCTGCTAATTGCCAGATCGGTCAATGGGAAAGCAACAGGATCCCAGTCAGAGCGGATGTGAGCAATTTTTTTCTGCAAAACGCTGTGCAAATTTTTCATAGTGAGCCACCGAGTGGTCAACACTATCTTTCTGTGGTCAGCACTATCATTTACAATGATGTAAGGGGCCCTTGACCACTTGGAAGAGCTCTGCTGGGCGACTCTCTGCAGAGGCAATGGTAGCAGTGAAGAATGACTTCTTCGCTGCCACCACTTCCACAGAGTAGGCCTTCCAATGAGCTCTAGCCCGTGTTCGGTCAGATTCACTCCGAGTTTTCCACCATCGTCACTCTAGTCTCCATTCCATTTGTTTCAAGGCACATGCATTCTGTTCTGTCTCCAGCAAGGGGTGTGTGTGTTCCCTGCCCTGTGAAGACACTGAGGCATTTGCTGCAGCAGTGGCCACAGGCAGAAGGGCTACCTTTTATTCACAGGGACGATATGCCACCAACCTGCTACCAATTAGCTGGTGTTGTGCACCTGTCCTTGGAGAAGGCAGGCTCCCCCCCCCCGGGATTTTGCCACACATTCCTTCAGGATAGGCACAGCCACACAGGCAACAGCTATAGTATCCATCCTTGAGCAGATCCAGAAGACTGGGAGGTGGTGATTGAATGAATATAAACCCTGTGTCTGCACATCCTACTCAGCATGGTAGCAGTTTCTTTCTTCAGCTCCACATACAGGTTCATGAAAGCAAGTCTGGTTGGGCCACAGCGTTGTCTACTGGGGCAGAAGGTATGCAACCAGCTCCAATTGGGGTTGACACATGGATTTCCACAGAGGCCTGCAGTTCTCTTGGCTAGGACTCAGGGGTATGTGGTGGGACAGCCTGGTTTCAGCCCTCTGGTGCAGGCTAAAAGCACACTGGCTGCTGGATTTACTCTTCGTACAGCTTGGCAAGAATGATCTTACTACTCGGAAGAGTTTGGATTTATTGCTTTCCATGAAGGCTGGGCTACAGTTTATTCGTGAGTCATACTCCACTATACACATCATGTGGTAGAGAGGAGGGCCTGTTGGTGGGCTAGTGGCCCATGGTGGGTGGACGTTGCCCAGCAAAAGTGACCAGGGCTGTGAGTCATTTAGTCTCTGCTAGGGGAGGTACCTAGGGACGTGGTGGCGCTGTGGGCTAAACCGCAGAAGCCTGTGCTGCAGGGTCAGAAGATCCGGCAGTCGTAAGATCGAATCCACGCAACGGAATGAGCACCCGTCGCTTGTCCCAGCTCCCACCAACCTAGCGGTTCGAAAGCATGCAAATGCGAGTAGATAAATAGGTACCATCTTGGTGGGAAGGTAAACAGTGTTCCGTGTGTAAATCACACTGGCCATGTGACCACGGAAAGATTGTCTTCGGACAAACGCTGGCTCTATGGCTTGAAGAGCGGGATGAGCGCCGCCCCCTAGAGTCGGACACGACTGGACAAAAATTGTCAAGGGGAACCTTTACCTTTACCTTTACCTAGGGGAGGTACCTGGATAAAACACCAGAACATCTCTCACAACATGGACTCCTTTTATTGACAGGATGGCATACATTTCACAGACCAAGGGCCTGACACGTGGCTCAGTAATGTTAAGAAGGATATGAGGAGTTGATTGCAGCTGCAGTGATCTGGCCAGAACTAAGTGAGCTCAGCTCTGGTGGCCTTTTTGGGCACGGGGACAGATCCAACAGGATGCTGGGACCCCCTGCCCGCAGAATTGCCCCTGCCCCTGGTTGGCAGTGGAGGCATAGAGTGGCATATGTCTGTATGATCTCCAGAGGGAACTACAGTACCACCCCAAGGGATCTCTCAGGGTGAGCATGATCTGCACCAGGGGACACATGGGTCTCCTGATGACCTGGATATGACCCAATGCTTGGCCACAGTAACTACCACTGTAATCAATAATGCTGTGGCCTCGTCATCCCAGTAATGGTGTGTGTGTCAGGTTTTTGGAGACTCTGGGCTGGCATAGCAGTAGGCCATCAAGGACAGGACCCAGATTTACCCACGGTCCCATGTTGAGGGTGGTGTGACGGTCCAGGTCCAGCAGCTCGGGGTCCCCTTTACATTGTGGCAGGCCTGAAAATGGCATCTGATAGGTGGTGCCACGAAAAAGGGAAGGCCCGCACCAAGCTCAAAGGAGGAGTCCCCAGCCTAGATTGGCTGCACGTGGGTATGCGTGGGGCCTCCTGTTGGCGGACCTGAGGGGAATGATTTCCACTCCATTCTGCCAGCAAAGAATAAAAGGAGGCAGCAGAGGCACAAAGTGGCATATGTCTGTGTGGTCTCCAGAGGGAACTGCCACCCCAAAGGAGTCTCTCTGGGAGATGATGGTCTGCATCGGGGACACACGGGTTTCCTGATGAGCTGGATTTGACTCAATGCTTAGCCAGAATAACTGGCACTATAATCAATAAAGTTATGGCATCTTTATCCCAATTATGGTGTGTGTGTCAGTTATTTGGTGACCCTAGCTGGCTTAGTAGTAGCCTCTTTGTCCAAAGATTTTCCAGGCGTTCCAGCGATTTTCCTTTGTTGAAATTTTGCATCCACTTCACCAAGCATATTTTTACTTTTTCTTCCTTGGTATCAAACTGTAGGAAAAATGTATAGATTTGTCCCAATAGTTGATCTTTATGCTGAAAGGCAATTTTTTCAAATTTGGACAAGGCTTTTATATCTCATTTTCTTCTACTGAAATCTTCTTTTAGTCTAGAGACCATCTGTGACGTTCACCCTTGTGGCCCCGTTTGTCTCCCCAAACACAGAGCTCAAAAAGGCATACTAAAAACCTCTTGACACGCTGCCACCAGCTGGTCTCCTTATCAACTTATTTTACTTAGCAAAGCCAAAGGTCCATTCAAAACTGACTTTTTAATAGAACAGGTTTATTGATTACAGTTGGTTTCTGGAACAATTCATAAGCACATTCTTCAAGTTTCATCAAGCTTTAGTATTAACCTTCTATAGTAGTTTTCACAGTTTACACTCAGACTAATCACTCCTCTGACCCCAAACTATCCTTCTCTCTCTGATTCCTAACACAGACTCTGACTGACTCAACTTAACTCGACTTAACTCCTCCTCTCAGGCTTCGCCTTTTAACATCTCTCTCGGCCCCGCCTCTTAACCACACTAACATATACCATGAATAATCCATAACTTACAATGCATATCTTAGGATGGTCGCCACACCATCTAACAATAAGTTAACCATAGTACACTAAACTTCTTTAATTCCCTGCCATGATTTAATTTCTCCTTAGACCTTTATCATATCTCCATCTTATAAAGTCAGTATTTTTCATTAGTTGTCGGTCATACTAAGCATCTATTGGCAACATTAATATAGGAATTGATGGACTGATTCTTCTTTTTAATATTTCACATATTTTGAATAAGTTGTCTCTAAATATGTGTCTTTTGTTTGAGGTTATATTTTTATGTATTGGTTTTTAATGTAAAGATTATGTAAACCATTGTCCATTTTTGAAGATTCTAATTTTATCAATCTGTCATTTCCCTTTTTTATCTCTTATTATTTTCCCATCCCCACTGAATAGCTGAGCCACTGTTTCTTTTCTCTGCGACATATGCAGCTGAAGAATGATTTTTGTTGCTTTTACATTTCTTGCTAACCTTAGCTCATTCTCTCCATATATCTTTTAAATCTGTAGTTTTCAATATCTTACTCAATAGGATACTTCTTTTATTCAGCTCATCTTTTTTACATACAGATTTATCCTTTACCTTATCTAAAACCATATTAAAATCTCCTGCCATTATCACATATCCCTTGCTAACCTTCTCCATCTCTTTAACAACAGTTTTATAAAATTCTCCTTGATTCACATTTGGTGCATAAACATTTATTAATGTATAATCTTCTTCCCCAATTAGACCCTGTCCTATCAAATATCTACCATTGCTATCTTCTATTACTTCTTTCACCACAAATTCACAAAGTTTAGAAATCAATATCGCTGCACCTTTGGATTTGGAGGTCCCAAATCCTGTTTCATAAATGTGTATATTTTGTAATTTTAGTTCATTAACTCCACCCTTTGATTGATGAGTCTCTTGTAAGTAAATAATATCCACCTTGTTCTTCTTCAATAATGTTTCTGTTCTCTTCCTCTTTGTTACAGACCCTAGGCCTTTCACAGTTAAGGTAGCTACCCTTATGTTTTCCCCCACATCCATTCTATATCCCATCTTTTTCTTGGTTTCATTGTGCATCCCACAAAACAAAAACACCCAAAAAACCACAAATTCACATTGTTCCCTATCTAATCTCCTATCCCCAACTTCCCAATCTACATGTAACCTCTTTACCTCCACCCCCACTTCTCTGTGCCTCACTAAGGTTTGACGCAAGCTCCGGGAGGGAGGGAGATGCCATCCACACCAGTCTGGATCCCAGCCAAATCCTCATTCCTATTTCACCCTACTCTGTTTCCCCCCCACACCTTTAATATCTTCCCTTCTTTCATTTGACTTGCTTATTTCTCTGGATCTTTCCTCTCTCTTCTCCAATCCCACAAAAAGAAACAAAATAAGCAAACAGAACAATAAAAAACAAAAAAAGGGGGGGGAGGAGGGACCTTGTAAAAAAACCTTTAAAATTGGGGGGAGGGAAGGAACAGTATTAAAAATTTAAAAGGGGGAAAAGGAAGTAAAGGGAAAAAGGAAAAAAGGGGGGGAAGGGGGGGGTCTTCAAGCATCAAATGGTCTCTCTCAGTCCAGATATCTTCTTTCAGGTTTCCACTCCATGCAGGCCTACTTGCTTGCGCCTTGGCCATCTTGATCTTCTTGCCATAGGCCCCATGTGACTAACAAGTCCTTGCCTTCTTCAAAAGAGAAGATTCTGAAGAGGACTCCATCTTTCCATATTTTTTAAAAAAACCGGGGTGACCCCAGTTGTATCTGCGTCCAATCTGGATTAGAATTGATGTAATGGGTTTCATCGTTTTTCTCCACTGGATTCATTGCTTAAATCCTGATAAATTTGTATTGGGTTTGACGTATAAACTAATAGTTTTGTTTTTTCTTTAGTGACCTTGAGAAATTGCTCTTTTTTATCATAGTTGAAAACTTCAATATTATAGGTCTTGGCCTCTTGCTTATGGGGTTCCCAACAAAAGGAGTTCTCTCTATATCCTCTTCAGGCACATGCTGCGAGTTCATAATATAATTTATTGAGGTCACCAGTTCCTGCTTAAGGTCAGCTCCTTTTTGCAGCTCAAAGTTCATTATTTTGATGTTGTTACATCTTGAGTTATCTTCCAGATAAATCACTTTCTTTTGCAAATCATCTATCTTCTGTTGTTGAGCCTTTGTTTTCCCTTCATTCTGTTTTAATAGATCTTCCATTTGCTTTACTCCATTTTTACTATGCTTGCCTTCATTCCCTGTACTTCTCCCTGGACTGTTTTCATGTCCTTTCCCATCTGTTGACATTCTTTCACTAAAGAGTCTATTTTGGAAAGAACCTGTTCCAGTTTTCTATCAATCTGGCATGGTATATCTTTAGCCAGATCTTTTACACAGATTTTTAATTTGGAAATGTTTTTTTCCTTGCTGGCTTCGGTAAGACTGCTCAGAGAGGTAGCCGCTTCCCCCCCTCCTTTCCAGCAACTTCCCGAGTTTCTTTAGAAACGTCTTTAGGAGTGGGGGATTCTATTCGCCTTAAGCGTCCGAGACGATGATCTGATGGTTTTTCCTCTAATGGCTCTTGTGTCCAACTTTTAGAACCCTTAACTCTATTTTTTCTCATAAGCAAAGCAAAAGATTGATGGCACAGGAAAACAAAGTAGCTTTTTACAACTCATTAGCTGTTCAACTTTCACTGGCATTCTTCCACGCAAAAACAAAAGTGCATTCCCCAGATAAGCAGCAAGGGTTTTGCAGTTTAAAAAGCACTTCTATCTCTGCTTGAACTTTTCACAAAGGATTTAAGCAGATCTAATCACATTTCAACAAGGGAAAAGGCCATATAGCAACTTATTTACATTCAGCAAGGAGACAAAGATTCAGCTGTGCATCCCGTCCGTCCGGGTGGAAGTTATGTCTCGCTTTTGTTTCCTTTGAAATTAAGAATGCCAATAGAACATGATCACTTTTGCCCAGAGTTCATCCTGCTTCTTCCACCAACTCATCTCTATTGGTTAGAATCAAGTCAAGAATAGCTAATCCTCTAGTTTCTTCCTCCACTTTTTGTAGGAGAAAATTAACAGCCACACAGGCTAATAATTTCTTGGAAGGGCTATATTTGGCAGAGTTTATCTCCCAACAGATGTCAGGATAACTGAAATTTCTGATGTCTTCTACTACATTGTGTCTCTTTGAAATTATTGCAATGTGTTTTTCAAAGGTTTCAGCTGACACCAAGAATCAGCATTCCCCAAGACAAATGGAAAAAAGTGGTGCACCAAATAAAAAACTAACTATGAAACTAGAGTTAAAATTAGCACCACATTTGGCACTGATATAGAAGAACGTCTGCTCTTGCTCAGTGCCAGATTTGGAAACATTTAGGCAAAAGGTCTTCGAGTTGTCATTTTAAAAATGTAACACTGTTTACTCTCATGCAGAAGCAAGCAACTTGGGTATCCTTGGTCTCATCTTGACTGCTGCCATTGGTGTTGTCAACATTCACGATGTCCTTTGCTATGTAAAGCTCGGCATCCTGTTTCCTGCTGGCAATGTGGGCACACTATTGTATAGTAACATTGGGTCATTTCCTGGCCCTTAGACTCATGGGTACAGAAGCACATTCCACATTCATAAGCCAGAGCTGCTGGGTTTTTGTTATTTTTGTTGAAGATTTGAATCTACATCTTCTT